ACTTCTATTTGGGCCTTGTCATCCCACCCCTTGTACCTTTTACTTTTCCTCAATAAAATTTCTCTTTAATAAAATACACACACACACACACACACACACACACACACACACACACACACACACACACACACATATATACATTTAATGCATTTTTATGCTGATTGTGTGTATATACTTGACATGCATTAAATGCTGATTGAACAAAAGCTACTTTTGCACGGTAAAATATGATAAAGAAATGGATCCCAAGATTGACCCAATGGACAGCCCAATTACAGAAGCGCACGTCCAGTTAGCCGACCCAAATACAGCCCAATGACAGTGGGCCGGCCCAATAAATTTGGGCGGGAACTGTAAAAGGAAAGAGAATATTTGAATATTTTTTCGTATATATTAGTTTTTGTAATTTCCTTGTATTGGTAGTTTACTTGTATAGGGATTTCCTTTCCTTGTTTAGTTAGGATTCTCGACTTGTGAGAACCTATATATACATGCCTTGGTTGTAAATTATAGACACAGAAAATACAAGAGAATTCTCTCCAAATCAATTCTTTCATGGTATCGGAGCCTAAACCCTAAAACTTTCTGCGGCCACTACGTTTGATTGACCGGCATCGCGTCCATTGGTCAAACGCCCGCCGCTGCACTTTAGACTCCGGAACGGTTGACCGTTGGTGAAGAACGGTTGAGGTCATCGACCGTCCCGACAAAAGTTCTCTTTAAATCGCTGCTGCGATTTCGCTCTGTTGTTGATCTGACATCCGGTATGTCCGAGGAAGTAAACATGAAGATTATTTCCAACAAGAAGAACGAGGAATGAGAGGAAGAGGAAGTTGGGGTGCGTCATCGACGCATCTCCCCATATGATCTGTCCCTGAGAGACAATCCGGGTATGATTTTGACCCATGTTGTTCTAAAGGGGGATAATTATGATGAATGGTCCAAATCTCTGCGTTTGGCTCTTTGAGCACGCAAGAAGTTTGGATTTGTTGATGGAACAATCGAGATGCCTGAACCTGATTCGGATGATTTTGATGATTGGTGGACAAACCACTCTTTGTTGGTCTCTTGGATTCGGAACACGATCAAACCAGCCTTGAGATCTAGTATATCTTTCGTGGAAAAAGCTTCAGATTTGTGGAGTGATCTGGAGGCCTGCTTCTCTGTTGTTAATGGACCCAGGGTTCAGCAGTTGAAGCGGAACTTAGCAGAGTGCAAACAGAAGAACCTTTCCGTAATGAAATATTATGGGAAGATGAAGAAGCTATGGGATGACCTTGCAGACTTAGAACGGTTCCCAGTTTGCACATGTAGGAATTGCACGTGCGATTTACAGGAGAAGCTGGCGCAGATGCGTGAGAGGGAATATTCTCATCAATTTTTGATGGGCTTGAATGATGTTTTGTATGGAACCTTGCGGTCGAACTTTCTTGCCCAAGAAACCATACTTCCTGTGGCAAGAACATACAACATTCTTGTCTAAGATGAAACATCACGGAATGGGATGCACAATGGAGAAAGCAAAGAGGCAGGTGCGTCTGTGTTTGCTGTGAAAAACAAGAAGGAGGTCAAGGAACTTGTGTGCTCTCATTGTGGCAAAGGAGGACATGATGTTGAGGCATGCTACAAGCTCATTGGATACCCGGAGGGATGGATTTTTCGAGACCAGGCTGGAAGAGGAAGAGGGAACAACCGTGGGAGAGGGAACTTCTGCGGTCCAGGAAGAGGAGCGGGACGGTCGACCGTCACGGGCGGTCGAAGTGAGGTACACGCGGTCCAAGGAGAAGGACTGTCTCCACTGCCCAACTTTGAGGATTTGACGTCTGAATAGTGGAATTCCATTCGTCATGCTCTCTCACTTTCTTCCACCGATAACTCTCAAAAACTTTCAGGTATTCTTGTATCACCTCGTTGGATAATTGATACTGGTGCATCCAACCATATGACAGGTGATTTATCATTGTTATATGATGTGGTGGGAGTGTCCCCATGTGAAATTGGTTTGCCTGATGGAAAACAGTCAGTATCTGTTCAATCTGGAAAGGTTGACTTAACAATGACTATGACTTTGCAGAATGTGTTGTTTGTTCCAAGTTTGAATTGTCATTTGATTTCTGTGTCACAGCTGACAAAGAATATGAATTGTGAGGCGAAGTTCACCGATGATTTGTGTATCTTACAGGACCTAAGGTTGAGGACAATGATTGGTGTGGGTAGACAAAAAGGAGGACTATATTATTTAAAGAAGGAGGAAAGGAGAATGGCGTGCAGTGCTACGATGGAGAATCTTTTTGATCTTTGTCACAAGCGTCTAGGACATCCTTCTTCACATGTTTTTATCCTTAGTTCCTGTAGTTGGATCGATTAAGAGTAGTCATAGTCATTGTGATGTCTGTCTACGTGCCAAACAAACTCGTACCAGTTTTCCTATTAGTTTTAATTAATCTATGGATAAATTTGATATGGTACATTGTGATTTGTGGGGTCCCTATCGGGCGCCGAGCTTTGATGGATCTACGATTTTTTTGACTATTGTGGATGATTTTTCTCGTGGTGTATGGGTGTATTTGCTTGATTCTAAGCGTACTGTAGGAAGTGTCTTCAAACAATTTTGTGCCATGATTGAACGTCAGTTTGAGAAGAAAATAAAATGCGTTCGTAGCGATAATGGTACAGAATTTGAGTGCTTGAATGAATACTTCCAAGAAAAGGGAATTGTTCACAAGACATCCTGCGTGTCTACACCACAACAGAATGGTAGAGTGGAACGTAAGCATCGGCACATTCTGAATGTGTGTCGTGCTCTGAGGTTTCAAGCCGGTCTTCCGATCGAATTTTGGGGAGATTGTATACAAACTGCAGCCTATTTGATCAATCGGACACCCTCGTCATTGCTAAGGGGGTGACACCGTATGAGAAGCTTTATGGAAGGTCACCGCCGCTGACTCACATTCGTGTCTTTGGTTGCAGATGTTATGTTCACAATTTGAAGAGGGATGGAGACAAATTTGCACCCAGAAGTATTCCTGGAATATTTTTGGGTTATCCACAAGGAAAGAAGGGATGACATGTCTATCTTCCGGACACCGGAAAGATGAATGTGTCCCGTGATGTTGTGTTCTGTGAAGATATTTTCCCTTTCTTATTTTCCATAGGTGAAACACCTAGAGAGGATGCATTAAGAAGCAACTCAACCACCAGTTACTTTGAAGATGCTGAGGAACTGTCCACGAGGGATCATCTGGACCGTTCCTGGAGGAACGGTGGACCGTCGGGAAATGGAGATGCAGAAGAGCTACAGACGATCGACCTAGTGGACCGTGCCGATGACCACGGTCGACCGTCGGAAGGGCAGAATGACGGGCCCTCAGGAGAAGAATCAACGGTCGACCGTGTCATGGAGGACGGTCGACCGTCCTCGAGGCAGAAAACTGATGCACCAGCGCAGCTACAGATGGTCGACCCCGTGGACCGTTCCACGGATGGCAGTCGACCGTCCCTGAGGCAGAAATCTGATGAACCAGCGACGCTACAGACGGTCGACCCCGTGGACCGTTCCACGGATGGCGGTCGACCGTCCTCTTCCCAGCAAGCAGTGGAGACTTTGGGGCGTAGTCAGAGGGAAAGACGCCCAAATGTGAGACTTGCGGACTATGTTACACATGTCACTGGACCACACAGCGGAGATAGATGCAGATATCCACTCTCCTCATACGTCACGTATGAAAAGTTCTCTCATAAACACAAGTGTTTTCTCACGGCACTTGATGAGGAAGTGGAGCCCACGAATTTTAAAAAGGCATTTCAGGATGAGCAATGGCGGAAGGCTGTGCGGGAGGAGATAGATGCACTGGAAGCTAATGGAACGTGGTCGCTGGTTGCTCCTCCACGTCATAAAAAGCCCCAGGGATGCAAGTGGGTGTACAAAATCAAGCGCAGGTCCGATGGCAGTGTGGAGAGGTATAAGGCCAGATTGGTTATACTGGGCAATCATCAGGTTGAGGGACTTGACTACAAGGAAACGTTTGCTCCTGTGGTCAAGTTAACTACAATACAAACTCTTCTAGCTGTTGCAGCTGCGAAGGGTTGGGAGTTGCATAAGATGGATTTGCACAATGCTTTCTTTCATGGAGATCTTGAGGATGAAGTGTACATGATACTGCCACCAGGTTTTTCTAATTCTTCTAATGTAGTGTGCAAATTGAAGAAATCTTTGTATGGTTTTAAACAAGGTCCAAGGTGTTGGTTTGCCAAGTTGTCTAGAGCTTTGAGACGCTATGGGTTTGTCCAGTCTGTTCCTGATTATTCCTTATTCTCTTTCGTTGGAAAGAAAGGAGTCATACATGTTTTGATTTATGTTGATGATTTGATTATTGCTGGAGATAATTCAGAGATGGTGAGCAAGTTCAAGGCATATCTAGGGGATTGTTTTCATATGAAAGACTTGGGGACACTAAAATACTTTATAGGCATTGAGGTGGCGAGGAGCACGTCTGAGATATTTCTCTGCCAATGGAAGTATGCTTTGGATATCATTACTGAGGCTGGATTGTTAGGTGCCAGGCCGTTAGTGTTGGAGTTGTGCCCTGATGGCCAACTATTTATCGTTATTCTATCACGCATAGGCAGATATAATATGTTTACACATCTCATGCTAATGTAAACAAATATTATATTCCTAGATTTATATTTAATGATGTTTATCAGATAGTGTTATTCTGCTGATGAGACTAACATCTTGAAATAAATATTTATCTGAATGTCCATAGTCGAGTATTAACGAGAGTGGGATATCGTTAATGCATGTGAGACTAGTGTGTGTTGGATGTTTGACTTAGTCTCATAGTCAATGACGGTGTGTTCGCATCTGCACATGGGCAGATATTATCTAGAGATAATAGGATGCCGGACTGACCCATCCTAAAGATGTTGCTTGAACTTTTAGTTCATGCTCTAAGCATCTTTAGCACGACCACGTGTGTAACTATCCTTCGACTTGAAGTATTACGTTTTCTGCATATGTGAACCCGCATACTTTGATGCATCGTCCTAAGCCATATGAAATAAGGATGGTATACAGGCTTTGTTTTGGGTATGCCGCAGCGCGTATTCAGAAACGTAGATTACGTACATAGGATTTGTCACTACTCTTTTTAAAGAGATTAATGTCTTATGGGGCCCACTGATAAGTTATGACTAAGGAAATTGCATGGCCATGCTGAGATGCTTTAATGACGTCTGTTCCTATTAGTCAGACTTGATAAATCAGTGAATGACTTAATGGATACAAGTTGGATTTTATTAATCCCTTGCATTAAGTTTAGACATTGAGGCAAAGGGATACAGTTACACGAAGTCTGAGTCGTGGAGAGGTTTTGACGGTGCAAACATCTTAACTTATAATCTGAGGGCAATAATGTGTTGCTAGATACAGCTTATTGCTTATAGTATTGGTGCAGAGCCAATACTGTGGCCAGCTTTATAAGTGCCTATACGGGCCACACACTTTGGACAATTTAAGGAGTAGGATTAAACAATGAGATAATAAGTAATTTGTATATTTGTAAAATAGTAAAATAAAATATTTTGGGGTATAATATATCATATATACGGTTTATATATATATATATTTAATATATATATGATAACACCGAAATATATATATAAATATATTATATGTTGAATATTTTATTTTGGTTTGTCATTTTAATTATGAAAATAATTATTTTGACATAAAATATTTGAAGTATATTTTATACTTGTTTAAAAATGATATTGGTATTTTATTTGATTTAGAATTAATTTTATATTAATTTTTGGTGTCAAATAAAATAGACTTTGAACACTTAAGTGGAGAAGAATTTCAAGAATCCCTCTCACTTTTTCAAATCAATTATTCGGCATAAGGATTTAAGAGATCAAATGATTGAATTGTGTTGATCACACTCTTGAAACATCCCACTTGACCAATCTTGAAAAGATTGAATTCCATTACTGGTATCAAGATATTGAACCATGAAAAATTTGTCTTAACTCACAATGTAATCCCCAAGATGCTTTTTGATACCGATATTTGAAAACTATACCCTTGGAATACGTGACTCGATCACAATAGTAAAAATACCCTGACTTAAACAATATGTTAAACCTCTCTTTGTGCACTACAAAACGATCAATACAATCAAGCTATCTCTGAGGATTATTATCAATGATATTGTTAGAATCTGTAACACCCCAACCCACGTGACCCGAATCAACGAGTTAGCGAATCAGGTTGTCACTAATTTGGTATTCACATGCATAATATTTTAAAAACATTTAATAATAAAATATCAATTAACATTTATTTAGAAATAATTCATAATCAATCGGAGTAAATAATTCAAACGTTGCGGAAGCCTTTAAGACAACATCGTCAAACATTCTTGTAGCTTAACAAAATAAAAGTCAACAAGTATTTAATTCAATTTCAAACAGCTTTGGGCCATCCACGAGCGTCACGCTTCACTGTCCTCCAGGCTGCTCCTCCTCTAAACCTTGACCCCTACCTGTAAAAATAGGGAGAGTGGAAGTATCTAACGCTAGAACTAACTCATAGACTAGCACCCGTTAACATATAATCATACAATATCAAAAGAATCAGTAATTACAATTATCAATAGTAAAATCCGTCGTTCGTTCGTTCGTACGTCCGTTCGTTTCATATCCTTGCGTATGGTTACCACACTTAACGTAACGTATTCGACTAAAATCGTCCTATACGTGTTTCAACTCTCTAATTCCATTCAAATCCATCCAATACTATTAGGTGTCTCATTTCACAATTTCAATTCAACATGTTACTGTTGCCAACTCCGTAAAGTTGGATTATTTCATAGTCAAACTAAATCTTAAAGCCCAAATTATAAGAAATGGGTCAAATTGCAACCAGCTTGGAAATTCTGGGGTCAATTTGCAATATTAGAAACTTTTTTTGATCCTCAATTATTAGAGAGGAACAGAGTTGGTAGTTGACTCTTCGTTCTCTTCTTCCTGGCGCAGCACCGAACACAGAGCAAGGCAGGGAAACGGAGACTCATCCTAACGGCGTCCATCCTCCGGTGCCGGCGGCGGAAGAACAGCTCAGCGACCAACAGCGGCGGCAGCGGTTCCCCCACCTACGGCGACAGCCCTCTCAGCAGCGGCAACACCCTCCACCAACACTGGCGGCAACGTGCTGGACACGGCGGTGGCACACCTCCGGCAGCAGCAGCAGCCTTCGAAGACATCAACAACCAGAAACCCACCATCGAGAAAGAAGAACAGAGCAGGAGCAGAACGGCGGAGGAGAAAACAAAACAGGGAAGAACAGATGAAGGAGAATAACACCCGGCAATATAATCCCAATTCACATTCCCAAACCCGACACGATCCATCAAGAGATTCATAATTCAATTCACAAATTCATCATCAATTACACGAAAATATATCAACGAATCCTAATCTATGAATTAACTCTAACGAGAGATAAATCACTCACCTCAATTAGATAGACGAAGAATCTAAGTGGCAGTTTGATTCCGGCGATGAACCCTGGCGACGATATCCGACGAAGCTTTCCGGCGATTCCTCTGCTCTGGACGGAAGTTGCGTGCGAAGAAGAAGCAGGAGGACCGTATATATGCCGTTCCTAATCCTAACGGAAATGAGTGTCTTCCCCTTATTTATTATTATTATTATTGTTATAATTATTATTATTAAATCTCTTTATATTAATTTACTAAACTGTATTGACTATTTCGCTCATTACGGTTCACACGAGATTCCAAACTTGACAAATAATATATCGTTGGTCGCCTCTTCTCGAGATCTATCCGAAAACCCAAATTTCGTGGGATAATATTATGTTTTCATCATATTTGTTTTTTTATTCATTTTCTTTATAATCTTTTCAGTCTCAGACGGTCAGACTCCTAACCTTCGTAAGTCGCATCCGTACGTGGGACATGTCGTCGAACTCGTTCCACCGAGACGTTCAATCCGAGTATAAACTTAACGATAAAAAGATTCCTTTAAAATATCTTATTTTAATATTTTCGTTTTTGACGTTTATTTAATTTAAATACAAATTAAAATTGTAATTAATTAGAAATTTATTATAAAATTCTAGGGTATATCTCAGGGCGTTACAGAATCCTAGCAAGGAAATGTATGTGCGACAACCAGAGAAGAAATGACGTCACAAGAACAGGTTGAATCATTCAAGTGAAGATTCCGAACCTATATGCGATGTTGGTGTCAGAACTAGTAAAGATTCTCCACTCTATGAATTCATGAATTGAATCACGTACTGAAGATATTATCTTCTTCACTCGAAATGAAATCAACTTTAGTGTTACATCAAACCCGTCATTATCAAGAACGTATCTTGATATATTCCAAAATCGATGAAGAAAGTTGAATACGACAAGACGTATATGAAACGCCACTCTAACGCTATCACCTGCGGATACGAATTAATGCAAAGACTCATTAACGATAATGAGATCTACCATGAAGTGAACGAAGAAATGTTTCGGCATAAGGTCGATAAATGACAAGCTATTGTACAACCGATCGACAGTACCTTCTCATAAATGATGACAAATCTCATATTCTGAAAATCCTAAACCAATAAAAGCCATTAGATATTACTTACAAGTCGTTGCTGAACTGTGAACGATGTGAAGATGTTTTGATGACTTAGAAGATTACGCTATGACGCATGAATTAAACAACCTCCAAATCTTCCACTACAACTATCGCGAACTTGAAACTACAAATGTTACCGAAGGACTTTCAATCAAAGAAAGAATGTTGTTGATTAATGACGTACGATCGAGACTTGTGAATGAACGAATTGAGGTGCAAATATGTCAAATATGCTCCAAAATACAATGTTATACTCTGCAATGGAACTTGGTTATTGGTGTTAAATCTGAACGAGAACCTGCAAAAAGGATCATTGGATACCTTGCTTAATCTAAGATTGTTAGCCTCTTAAAGAACGAACGAGTTTAATAACACCAAAAGTTGAGATTACATATGCATGTGGATAATGACGTAAAACCAAATAAACATGACACGGTTATGATTAAGTAAGATCACTACAAAATGTTGAATATTTGGCCTTAGAAAAATTTCGAGGACGAAATTCCTTTTAAGGGGGGGGGGCGGGGGGAGAAATGTAACGCCCCAAAATATACCCTAGAATTATTAATGAATAATTATTCAATTAAACAAATTTGTTTGATTAAAATAAATTGTTTTTGGGCTTTGGTCCGACATGAAATATGTTTTGATATCCAATATCATAATCTGGATAAATCTCATAGAGATAAATCCAATATGTTGACTTACTGTGTGACCTTGATTAAGAACCTGAGAACAGACCCAAATCAAGAATAAATGAAGAATTTGTTTGTGATGTAAACTTTGAAATGATTTATTAAAATAAATCATGAGAATAAATAATATGAATGAAATGTAAAAACCTTTCTGAATAAAGGTCAACAAAATCATTTTTGACTCTGTCAAAGTCAACCACCCAAAAATATGATGTCGGAAAAAGTATAACGAATAAATATAAAAATTATATCGTTGGATAGAGTTTAATTGCACGATCACATCAGTGCAAACGGATTTCAATTCGGAGAAAGTTGTACCAAAAAGTGTACCCCGACTGGAACCAAAATTAGTCCCAATCAGGGACAGCGCCTCCTACTCCACTCAGCCGATCGAGGATGCATTCTTACGCAAATCCTACGCAGCAAATGTTGTCACCTTCCCCATTGTCTTCCTATATAAGGCCACCATCAACCCTCTCACTCCTCACCAAAAACTAATGAGTTTAGTACCAAAGTGTTCCTGAGAGTGAGGAGAACATGCTGCAGTAGTTGGTGGCCACCGAAGTCGCCGGAGTTGCGAGTTATCATCGCCGGAAGTTTCGCCGGAAAATTCTCAAAACCTTCGATAAGCTTCGAGGTAAGCCCGTAGATATATCTAATGACTAGAATGTTCATATAGGTCGTTTCTACGTTCATAAATGGCCATTTGGTTGAGTTTTGTGTTTGACATGTTTGAAGAACCAAGAATCATAAACCTTGAATTTGATGTTAAAAATATGTTTTAATAATTCTAATATGATCTATGAACCTTGGAGAACATCTCTATATAGTTTAATTGAAGTTCGGTGACTAAAAATGGTTTTCCCGAAAAATGGACCGAGGTTGAAGACGAATGAACAGTGGCTGAAAATCCACA